AAAATGTGTAGGCTTCTTTGCTAGTGCATCCCGGACGTAGAGAGACCCCTTAAATGTATTAATATTCATATTATATGAATGGTATTGAATAGCAATAGTATTGAAGTTAACATATCTTTTTTTTTTAATTTTTGTCAGTTTCGATTAAAAAATTGTGGTTTGAAACATCCCATTTATTTAGTGGAAGACTTTGGTTCAGCACAACATCTCAGCTTACCAGAATCAACGCTACAACAAGCCGTTATAAACACACAGGTAGCCCGGAGTTATAAAAGACAACTTCAAAGCCATAATTCAGTGACGTCAATGAGCACGTGTCCGCTGTAAAAAAAAACTAGTTTCAGTAATTTCTTTGGATGATTGATATCAACGTCAAGTTTCAATCTAAGTGTCTGCAAGGCTAATGAAAACATTACAGCATTATCAGCTAAATGGTGTTTTTCACGGTTCCCTACGGCATCTTGAAAGGTAGCCGGGTCTTTGCATCGAAGCGAGACTAGCGTTGAGCGTGCAATTATAGAAATCTTCTCTGCAGACAATTATTCACAGGTATCTATCATTGCAGGCTCAATGGTTGTCTCGTTTCGATGCAAAGGCACGGCTAACTTTCAAGATGGCGCAGAGGAGACTATTGTCTCTCAGTTACCATCGGGGTTAACATGTTCCAATTTTTCAAAACAAGCATGAAGTCACTAGTTGAAAAGAATATTAATCARAATRATATKGGATAAATCYGATGTTTTCYSTGTATARTTTGTTTATTGTTRCTACATTAATGTTCATTTGACKCATTTGTATCGYTTCAGATTGTGGATGGATTCTTTGTTAAACGAACTCGAAACTCCAAGGAATCATGTGCTTATTTAACGCTGATGACACGATTTCTTCAAAGTTTTTACATGGTATATATCACCACCAAATATTGATTGCACAGTCTTAAGGCCGAATCAGAAGACAAAACTTTTTCCTGCAACCATCGCATGCGACATTCATAAGTCTTCCTTATTACAACATGGCTACAACTGTCGTGGGGCTATTAAGCAATTGTTTTAAATCACTGCGATAGTTGTAGCTAATCTGTAATGATGACTTAAGAAGGTTGCATGCGATGATTGTAGGCAAAAGTTGCACTGTCTAATTCGACCTTTAGTAGGCAGTGTGCGGTGACGTCATTCCCTACCCCAAAGCTTGCCGGTAAATATAGTCTTCACGGCGCCCGTTAAGTCGTGTTTTCTTTTCAAAAGCGCAAATAGTTTTGCCCTTAATAATAATAATAAAAAACACAAAATCTGTTATGTGGAGTATTTTAGCGGACGCAAAGTGCCAGAACTATGTTTCCCATTTTTGTGTAGAAAATAATCCAGTTTCGAATTCTCCAATGCTCTGTGTTAGCCTCATTTGTGCGCAAAACATTCCTAATTGTGAGAATAAAAGTGTGAGATTTCAAATCAATTCTAATGTCTTTCTTTTC